CTCTGTAAAGAAATGTTCTCTTACATCTAGAGAGGATTTCCTGAACTTGAATTTGTGCCCACTGGCCCTTGTCTCACTGGGCACTACTGAGAGGAGGCTGGCTCTGCTGTCTTTGTTCCCCTCATTGGGTATTTAGACCCACACTGGTAAGACCCCCTGAGCCTTCTCTACTGCAGGCTGAATAGCCCCAGCCCTCTCAGAGTTCCTTCCAATAACCAGTGCTCATCACCTTTGTGGCCCTTTGCAGGACTCCAGTAAGTCCATGTCTGCCCAGTGTAGGGAACCCAGCACTGGACACAGCAACCTGGGGAATGGTGGGAGCTGTCTCACCAGAGCTGGGCAGAGGGGAAGAATCACCTCCCTCAAACTGCTGGCAGCACTTTTCCTAAAGCAGCTTGGAAAGAGAATGGGTTATGTAGCTATGTCTAAGGAAAGCAAGCAAAACAACACAGAGCTGGGTTATAGGGACATTGTTGGACATTGTTGGTGCTGTCTTCTCAGTGGAATTTGGGTTCTTTTTCAGCACAAATAGGAGATCTCAGGCAGCACACAGTTCACCCTCCCTTAGGAACAGACAGAGTTCATTTGTTTGCTCTTGGTCCCTTTGAACACTGAGCAGATGCCAAGGAGGCCGAAGGGGAATGAGAGAAGGGGAAAGAAGACTGGGAATGGAGCTGTGTAAGCAACAGCTGAGGGGTCTTTTGAGATCATTAAAAAGCAAACAAGATTCTATAAGTCATGTTTTGTTATTCAAATTATTTTTTTTTTTATTTCTTAGGTGTGCAGTTTAAATTTTGTTTTGTGAAACTGTGCTCACACTGACGGTTTACTGCTGGCAAGCCAAATGGGAGAGGCAGACCTGATAAACCTGTGCAGGACCTGCTGTGAAATATTCTAGGGAAAAAGCCTTGCCATTGGCCAGGAGGTCTGGATGATGATGGAGTGGAGAGCTTTTGAAACAACATGAGCATGTGTGGGACACGATAGCATTGCAGGAAATACATCACACAAACAATACTGGGCCTCAAAGCTGGAGGAGCTGTCTGGTGTGAGCCTCCTGAGGTCCAGCAAGGCAAAGAGCAGGCAGATCCATCCTCATACTGCCCCACCTGCTGCTGGCACAGCCTGGGCTGCCTTAGGTTGGGGATTGGCTGTTTAACAAAATTCCATCTTTAAAATCTGACTTTTCTATGAGCCTGTGGAAGCAGCAATTAAGGTGTTACTTAATTAAATACTGGAGTAGCCTACCAAGTATTTCTGAAAAGCAATTTTCTCTGGATGGCTGACGGCCTTTTCAAGTGTTTCAGAAAAGTGGTATGTTTTAAAACTCAACCTTCATTGCTTTTGCTACCTGTAGCACAAAAGTAGAGTTTTAGTGCTTTTCTTGATCTCTAATTTGGATTGTGTTGTCCTTGCTAGTGTTAATAAACATTCTCCTGCCAGAGTAATCTCACTGAGAACAGACCTGACATTGTATCCATGCTGTGTGGCACCCACATACCTGGTTCCTTGGTTATCAGGAATCTCTCCCCCACATGAAGGCTTTCTTTTTTTTTCCTTTCGTGATTTTCTGCCAGAAAACACAACTGATTATGAATAGCAGTGCTTGGATTGTCACATTGCATGGTTGGAAATATGACATTTAGAAACAAATTTATAGTTGAAAATTATAAGATTTACTAACCAATAAAATGCTTGCAGAGTGGTCTTTCCTACTCTTAAAATCTTAGTGACTGTGCAGCTGCTCTCACCTGTCTTTTCCTAAGGCATATTTGAGGAAAAAGCTTGTTTGGGAAACTGTGATTGTAAGTTAATTAAAAATAGTTTTCATTTTAGAAAACTAAATGTGTTGGCAGTAGCATACTCATTGCTAATGGGTGATTGTACTTTTTCAATAATAATAAGAGATTCAATGAAGCTTTAGAAGATGTTAGGATATTATTAACTAGATAATCTACATATTTGAGTTTTATTCCCAAATAAGATGGATCTCCCAGAGCCAGAAGTCTGAGTTTATATTTGATAATTATATAAGACTCTTGAGCTTTCTTGCAGATTGTAATTCAATTTCTCTAAGAAAAGAGCTTTAAAACATGAAGAAAGAATGAGTGCTTCTAATTCCAGGAAAGCATTGTGACCAGCTAGGTCAGTTTGCTGACTCTGTCCCAAACAGAGCCCAGCAGATTATTCACCATAATAATGCTGGAGCAGCAAATAAGAATGCAGAACCCAGAAATCACAAATTATACCTTTCTCAAATACTGGTTTGGTTCTGTGGAAAAAATAGTTTCTGAGAGTGTTTATCTGAGAGTGTTTCCTTTACTAGGAGATATTCTGTGGTGAGGTAACATCAGAAATCACTGAAAGATGGTTGGCACTTACTGGACAACCTGTGACAGACAGGCAGCTCCCCAAATTAGGGACCTGGATCACTGAGGCAAAAGCTGGTGGCTTGTTTATCTGACTCTGATGATAGGTTATGTGTGGATATGTGTGTCTATTCATGTATTTTACACACATGCAGGCCCATGTGTGTTATGTGGATTATGTTCCCATCACTGAAACCAACAAAGGCAACTTTGGCAGATGTGGCTGAGATTCACCACATCTGTTCTGTTTCAGCTCTCTGTAGTGCCAGGCCCAAGGGCTGTAAAGCTAACATGGATCAAAAAGCTGCTATAACAGCAAAGTGGTCAGTCAAAACCACCTGATTTTTGCCTATTGAGGATGCTTTTTTCATCCATAAATATTTTAAGTTAAATACTTACGGGGATATGAATCCTGATGAAGAATGGTTTTTTGAATGGCTTTTTGAATCTACCTATGATAGTTACTATAACTGCTGAGTATTTTTAGGGATTTTCTGGATCCTAAGCAAAGCACCTTATGACTTCAAAAGGTAACAGTGTAGAGGGATACAGTATGGGTAAAGGAAGGTGCTATAGAATGTAATCTTACCCCCTAAAGAGTTGCAGCTGAACCAATTACTAAAGATTAGGAGCAGGCCTGATGTTAACAGGCCACACCTGAAGGCAATAAGAAGAGTGTTATAAAAGAGTGGATTGGTGGGAACTAGAGTTAGTTGGCTGCTGTGAGGATAAGGAAGAGTCAATGCTAGAGGAGTTGCCTGCAAGAAACATCAAGGAGGTATGAAACTCCGGCCATATGGAACCCTTGCAGTGTAATGACTGTAGAACTATTGCAATATATGATAACAAAGAAAAAGAGGAAGAAAACACAGCCCATAAAGAATAAAACAAATTTTAAAAAGTCACTGTTTCTTGTAAAACCTATCTGAGTGGGAGCTAGAGAAATAACTGCATTAGTATGCTTTAATCTCCGTGGGATTTAAATTCAGAATGTGCCAAACTGGGTCATGGTCATACATGAGAAAATGGGGAGTTCAGAGATAAGGCTGGGGCAGTTGCTCTAAATACCATAAACTGCAAACCCATCATTTAGTCAAAATAGCTGATTTCTGGACATCTGCACAGTTTTACCTGTGACAATTAACTGGAAGATTGAAAACTCTCAAATATTTGTGCTAATTTTACCGAAATCTGTGAACAGGAGCGTGGCAGAGCCTCAAAGTGAGTTTAGAGCATGGAGTGGGTTTAGACCAGGGAGGCCCATGGCCAGAAGGGAGAGGGGCTATGAGGTCTTGTAGGAGCAGACCTGGTGCTGCTGGCACTATGGCACCAGGGGACATGTTCACCACACACAGAGACCAGGAGGAATTATTAACTTTGCACCTGCTCAAGGAAATGTTCCCATAAAGGAAATTATATAAATACATTGATTTGTTGGAGCAGAACAATGTTTGTTCTTTTGAGGAGAAAGAAAATGCTTTGAAATAGGGGAAGATCCCAAAAGCCATAGATTAAAATTGGGAATGGGTGGTGATATGGACTAGAAATCAATGCATTCAGTGTGGTGCAGTCATTAGACACAGATGCTAAACTGGAGATAAAAATGGAAATGCAAAGCTGGGCTCTGGAAAGAAATTATTCATTGCTTTGCAGTTCTCTACAGGACAAGTTAAGTGTTGTCTATCATCTGATTAAAAAGAAACTGAAAGATATCTGTCATGAAAAAACTTTGGCAAAATGGGGAAATGTTAAAGATGAAGTTTTCTATAAAGTTCTCTCAAAGGACATCTTTGGTCAAATGTCAGAGAACCTGAAAGTATCTCAAAGGGCCAACATGAGTAGTACTGAAATTGCTCTATTTATCTATACATACATGCAAAGTTTGTATTTCTGTTTAATATTTTAAATATATACAAAATGTATATAACAAGTGCAGTGACTATCTTCAGAGTTAATGATCATGAAATGTAAACAGTGATGAAATGTAAACAGTCTGTTTATTGATTATGCATTAAATATATAAATACACATCTATTTATATATATGTGTATGTATGCATGTGTATGTACAAATGCATATGAATTAAATTTATTTTTACAGTTTGCTTTTGTCATTGTTTGAGGCCAAGTTTGTGGACTCTTGCATTGTTTCCTCCCAGTGGAATACCTAATGCTGTATGTTAGAAGCCTGTCTGTCTACAGCCTTGGACATGTGAGGAGTAGCTGCTACTGTAGCTGTCATATCAGAAGATATTTTCAAGACAAAGATAAGGAGGAATTCTGTGGACAGCCCTGAATCTGTGATTTTTTTTCTAGTTACATTCAAAGAAAAAAAAGTAATCATTTTCAATCTTACTGTAAAGAAAAACTGTAAATGCCTAATTTTAAGGCGAATGAGAGTAATCTGTCTCCAGGCCTTAAGATTCCTGAATGAAAGAAGAACATTTCCTTTTTCACTATTTTCAGCCTCCAATAATCAAGCATAACTTAGGTTCATGTTCACTAGCAAATCTGTGAAGTTATGTTTTCCTCAAAGCAGCAGTGAATACCAAACAATTGTTCAAGTTATGTGGCTATTTCCAGTTTAAAATGTTCACATTTGGCTAATTGTATTCATGTATTTCTTCCTAAGGCAAAATGGGGAAACAAAATAGTAAGCTGGCCCCTGAGGTGATGGAGGATCTGGTGAAGAGCACGGAGTTCAATGAACACGAGCTAAAACAGTGGTACAAAGGATTTCTAAAGGACTGTCCAAGTGGTAGACTGAACCTTGAGGAGTTTCAGCAGCTCTACGTAAAAGTAAGTTATTTACTAAGTTATTTGTTAACGTAAAAGTAAGTTGTTTGACTGTAGAAAGAGTTATGAAGCAATGTAAAGCAAACATATGGTCCAGAGCTGCTGGTCATTTAGACTGAGGAATAACTTTGCTTGGAGAAGCAATGGTGAAGATGAGACAATGAGTGGGAAGTGTTACCCTCTTCACACCAGTGATTTGTGTGACTATAGTGACAGGAACCAAAGTTTAGGAAAAAAAGCTGTGATTTATTCACAAGAAATAGATTACATTCTCTGTGCTCTGAAATTCATGACGTGCATTTCAAGTTTTAAAGGTGATGTTGTTCACCTTCAAAGGATGGCCATGGTCATCAATATAAACCATGTGATAGCTGGACATATTTATATAAAAGTGGTGAAGTTTCATGACAGTATGACCTGCAGATAAATTATGCACTGTGCACAAAGGATTTCTTCCATAAATTTTAGATATTGCTTTTTATTTTTTCCCTGCTGTCACTTTTTTCTCATTTTATTGGGAAGGGAAAGCAGGCTGATCTGTTTATTTTCTTCTTATTTTTTATTACTTTGTCATGTTCAATGAAGTCTTTCCCTTACATTTATTATGTATTTATTCTGTAACAAGAAGAACATGGGGGAAGCATAAAAAGTGTATTCATGTTACAAAGATAATTATATTTTAATTCAGAATTGAGTGTCGACCTAAAGGTTAGACACTTCAAAGTAATGTTAATTAGGACAAATCTTGAATGGCAATGATGAACTGTAGGATCATAAATACAATGTGAGGCTGAATAAAAATAAAGCAGCCTTTCAAGTGTAGGTAGTTACTGTTGAGCACACTGGCAATTTTTGCAGACAAGTGGGACTGTTGTTTTCCTCAGACGCACTCTGCGGTTCTTTCCTAAATTTCTTCACCTTTGAACCAGATCCCTCTGCAAAGTATTACCTAGACCCTTTTTCTTTCTAACAAATGGTTCTAGCATAAACTTCTAATTCAGCTTACACAAATAAGCTTCTGTCTTCATGTTTTAATATTCATGGCTGAAGAAGATGTTGCCTCACAATCCTGTTCTTAAGAGACAAATAAGTTTGTAATGAATTATTTTCAGATGAAAGAATCTGTACAATCTCAGGTGTAGTACTTGTTATTGACTGATAATTTATAAGTTCCATTTTACACACTACTCACTGCACATCCAACAAGAGCAGACATCCAGTCATTGCTCATACATGTTTCTGGAAAAAAGTAAACCTTCTTTAAAAAATTCTTAATAAAGTGTGTCAACTCTTCAGGAAAAATTATTTATTTTTGGAAAATCACAGTAAAGGTGGTTTTTGGTGATTTGCTTTGTTTTGTTGTTTTTTTTTTTTTCTTTTTTTGTTGTTTGTTTGTTTGGGGCTTTTTTTGGGGGTTTTTTTGGTTGATTTTTTGGTGGGGTGGTGGTTTGGTTTGTTGGTTTTCTTTAAGATTTTTGTATTCTGTGAGGAAAAACATCTGGAAATAACTCAGAACTTCCAGGACTTCCTTCCTTCAAACAAGTGTTTGAAGTGTTCATAAGATATTTCACAAGATACTCTATGATGTGTCTTCAGGAGTAAAGTAAATTGAATATCATGTTTTCTGAGATGGTAGTGCAAAAAATAACATGAAGAGCACAAGCAGTATTTTGCTCCTGAAATTTGCAGACAGCTTTGTAATCTTACTAAGCTGCAATATCCAGCTTGTAGTTTTATGGCCTCATGTATCTTTAGACATGGACATGAAATGTGATTCTCTGCCTTGCTTTGGTAGTTGTGGGGTTTGATTTTTGCTATGTAATGGCACTGCCATATATTTAGTCTAGTTTATTGTCATCCTATATTTAATGTCCATAAGGGGCAAAATACTAATTTTGTGAGGAGAAACATGATTATCTGTAGTAAATCCAGAGCTTTACTTCTCTGTGTGTCACAGAAATGCTTGTAAAAATAATGTCTCTGAGGAGCTCATAGTCTGAGTGTTGGCCATGGTGGCAACTTCTGTGTAGGGCATTCTGTCTACCCCAGCTTCTGGCTGCTGATAAACCCCCAGATGTGAAATTTGATCTTTCCAGGAGGAGCCACCAGCAGGAGACCTGAATCTTTATGATTTACATTTATAGCATCTCACTTCACTTAAAATATATTCAGGGTGAAAATGCATGAAAGCATGTATTGATTTGTAATTCCTCTGCATAAACTTCTAGTTGGGAGGGATGACATTTATCTGTTTGTCTGAACTGGATTTTATTGAGGAAGATTTCAATAGATCAATATATTTTGAAAAGAAATACAAGACTTTCCTCCATCTCCAATTCATGTTGACCTAAGATGACACTGTTTCTTTGTTTGTGAGAGCTGTCTGGGGAGCATTTTCATGTGTGTTGATAAAAAGGTGTTGGTCATCTAACTTAGGTGCAAAGGAAACTCCTTTTTTTTTACTAATGCACAATAGAAAATATCATCAGCTTAAATAGACAAGACATTTCATATTACCAATAGTTTGAAGTGAGTTTCCTGGTTATCTGAACTTCTCTTCCATCAGAATTACAGAGTGGGATGCACTTAGGGCATAGAAACTGTTTGGGTTCTGTTTTTTTTATGAAACATAACTAGATGTGTACTGGGATCATACCTGATAAGTTACTGTATCTAATTGCTGCTAATAAGCTTGAGTTGGTCTGAAAGGGGACCTCCAGAACATGTGTGATGTGGATGTCAGGTCCTCAACACAAACCCTTCCAACTCTACATATTTGCATCAATTGTACTGTGCTGTTTACTGATGTAGATAAATACTGTATTGACTAAAGGGAGAATTACTCTAGTTTGGCTTGGGAACATTTGCTATTGAAGTTTCCATTATGAATACAAATCATCCAGTGCTTAAAATAAATAGCAGTTTCACCAATGGACTCTACAGGAAAAATTATTTGCAGCACTTTTAATGCAAGTGTCTATAAAAATTTTCAGCCGAAATTACCTCTTTTAGATAAGTAGTTAATAGACAGAAATATGCTTCATATTGTTGCATATTTAACATTTTCTGCAATATAGTGGGTTCATTGAAAATACTGGTCCATTTTTGGGTAGATAGATTCTTCTTGGGATATGAAATCCATGGCAAACTGTTGGGGCTCATGTTTCCCTCCATGGTGCTGAATGAAGTGAATGTTCTGCAGTTTTTTAAATAGTTATTGAAGAGTTGAGTATGTACTGGAAGCCCAGAGCCACAAGGAGTCCTCAATACTGAAACACTGTATCTGTCCTCAAAGTCTGCACAGAGCATGGCAGGGGGAGAAATCTGTGGGTAGCATTTTGAGAAAGCTAAACCTCAAGCCAACATTTTGTAAAGTAACATGCAAAACCACAAGGCATTGCTCAGGACAGGAGCTGGTGCTAAATTCTAAGTTTCTCCAGGGTATGGGAGTTACATCTTCCTACTGCAGAGAGCTATCTAGAACAGTAGAAAAAGCAAAATCACCTGACTGGAGGCCTCTTGCTTTCACTCTTAAGTGACAAAAATAATGCAATTGCCTTACCATTATCACAGTGGTTTATGTACTCCTTAAGCTGTAGAAAACTGAATCAATTAGAGGAAGAGCATTGCCAGCAGGTCGAGGGAGGTCATCCTGCCCCTCTATTCAACCCTGGTGAGATGGATCTGGAGAGTTGTGTCCATTTCTGAGCTTCTCAGGGCAAGAGAGAGATGGAGCTCCTGAAGGGGGTCCAGCAGAGGGGGGACAAAGATGATGAAGGGACTGGAGCATCTCTGCTATGAAAAAAAGCTGAGGGAGATGGGGCTGTTCAAGAAGAACTAACTGAGCGGGGATCTCATCAATATTTATCAGTATCTGAGGGGAAGGTGTCAAGAGGAAGGACCAGGCTCTGCTCCATGGTACCCAGCAGTAGGACAAGAGGCAGAAAGTGATGCACAGGAAGTTTCTCCCAATATGAGGAAGAAATTCCTTACAGTGCAGTGACCACACACTGGAACAGGGTGCCTGGAAGGGCTGGGGAGTCTCCCTCACTAGAGATATTCCAGAACCCTCTGGATGCAGTTCTGTGCCATGTGCTCTGGGATAGCCCTGCTTGAGCAGAGAGGCTGGAGCAGATGATCTGCTGTGGTGTCTTCCAACTTTACCTATTCTGTGAATTATCATGGCTCTGTTTGAATCTGTACTGATTGCCCTCTCATTTATCTACCTGTGATGAGATGTGACCTTCTGGGCTGCTGGCAATATCCCAATTAACCTATTCTTCTGTAGAAAATAGCATCAGACAAGCTGAAACCTAAAATTTCCTTCTTCAAAGAGAATATCCTAACTGTTAAGCTTAATCCTTACTAGCTGTCTTAATTTTCCTTTTTCTCTCCTAAAAAGTCCTTAATTCTTTTATCTTGCATAAAACTTAATTATCATTGCAGGCAGAGAGCTAAGAAATTAATATACAAAACTGTCATTAAAATAAAAGATACCAATAAAAAACTCTTGAGTGTTCCTATCATTCTTTAGGGTTTCTTGCAGTCTAAAGGGCCAAATACATTTTCCTTCAGATCTTTTGAATTCACTGGGTTTAGATGAATATGCCCTAGAGTGTGTAAGTGTGCATAATCACTGCTAATATTCACAGGAATTATGCATGTTTATTAAGTGGAAAATAGGCTTCTATATTGTGATACTTCTTGGAACTGGGTCACTGAACATGAGCAGCATATCTCTGCTCCAATAGAAACAAGAACCAATGGTCCTTTAGCTGGAACAGTAGAGTTAGGAATGACCATAATATAATGCTAACAATAATAAAGTAACTTACTTTGTGAATTTATTGCCCCTATATTATTTAGATATGTTTTGGAGTCTTATAGATAACTTAAATGAAGGGTGTAAAAAAAAGAAAAAAGAATGCTATTTCATTAATTGGAATCAAACGGTTTGTCATATTTTTGGATTCTATCTCACATTTCTGGCCTTGAAGGGAATT